GAAGATATGCTCGTCAGTTTTTTTTTTTTTTATAGTTACACTTACTCATGTCAAACGTTGTTCCAAGGGCTGCAGATCCCACTGACAAGGTTTGAAATAATTTCTTCCGTGGTTTCGAAGTCTTTGTTTTTATCCCGTGATCCTCACTGAGGCAGATTTCCACTGCCGGCAGGGAGATTTCAACCTGCTTTAAGGCTTGCAGCAGGGCCTCTCTCTCTCTCTCTGCAATCCAGTGTCCCCAGCGTGCACCATCATGCCCTGCAAGCAGCTCTGGGTGAGGAACTCCCGGGAGATTGACACCTCCAAAATGCCGGAGTGCATTGCTCGAATGACACGGGCAGCGCAGCCACCGAGAAGCGAGGGACGCGGGTGCCAAAATCCGTATCGGGTGTCTGCGCGAGGTGGGTGGTCTCTCGGATACTTGGGATGCAGAATGCCACGAGCTGCCATGCCAGTCTTCGCATCGATAAAATAAGAAAGGTATTTTTGGTTAATCCTCAGCAAGCGCACTGTCATGTGCTAATTGGTCGCAGGAAGCAAGACGGAAGGTGCTGGGGTTTATTGTCAGTAACCCTACTTGGGATGTCAAGTTAATCCCTAAAAAGACCCCAATTCAGGCTACGTGCTCAGATGTTCTTTGCTTACAAGTGCCTTTCCCCAGCGGAGCGGTGGATTTCCCTGATATGGTTTGAAAATGGTCACTGTTGTGAGGAATGAGTAAAACTAAAACAACTAACCAGGCTGTGATGTCTCCTGTTACTGGTGGGGAAGTGAAACGAACTTCACCCAAAGTTTTGACAACATCTCTAATGAGCTGTGAAAACTCTGTTGTTAGAAATTGATATGTAATGCGTGCGCTTTGAATAAAACCAATGAAATCAAATTCCCCCTTCGTAATTTGTTTCTTTATTATTGTACATATGTGACAAGGCTGTTTAGTTTTAAGATAAATTTAAGATAAATAATATTTAGTTACTGGGAGGTCTTTGGTTTAGAATATTGATGTTTATTTACATACTCCAAGGAAAAAAATCCCCACCAACTAATTTAGCCCGGAGAGCTGCACTGTCCAGCTATGGCATAGAGCTGTGCAGCCGTGGTGGTTTGAGGATCCCTGACAGGCGAAGAGGCCAGAATACTCAGGTAAGAGGAGGACGGCTTGGAAACGCTCAGAGTTTCTAGGTGAACAGTTGTTTAGCCACAATTTCTTGTTAAATTCTGGGGCATCCCACAGACCTACGAGTGCCTTTTGTGAGCATTGCTGTGCAACACTAATAATAATAAAATAAAAATCGTGAATAAACGGTTTCTGCTTTCTTTTCCAGCGAGGGCTGACTGCAGAGGCAGCCTCACAAGTGCAGTCCTGGCTCCGCTGAGGCCGTGAAGAGGGCTGCTCACGCCACGGGTTCCGCCGGGGCTCCCAGGCAGTGCCTTTGCCCCTGGCCCCGCTGGTTTTGTTGGGCTGCTGCTGGCTGCTCCCTGCCTGGGTCAGGAAGCGGTGCCGCTCTCCTGGGCTTTGCTTTGCCTTGCAGGCACCGGGGATTTCTCATTCGAAAAGCACCTTTTGTTTCGGATTTGTTTTTTTTTTCAGACAGGATTCCCAGCATTTCTGAAATGCATCCCCACTCTGCGATGAACCCCTGTTGAACTCCACCTCCCACCCCGTCTCAGCAGCATCCCCGACTCGCTGCTCTCCGCAGAGCTGGGCAGGGGAGCCCCATGATGCTGAGGAGCCCTGACCCCCTTCCCGTCGCTCCCTAAATCCACGGCAGCCAGCTCGCAGCCGCTCCGTGCTCCTGCATCTCCCCAGCTTTTCTCCACCTGCACGTGGGCTGCTGGTGTGTGGTGAGTGGAGGATGCTGAGGACCACAGGGAGGGGATGCACAGTCTCCCCAGCTGAGCTGGAACTTCACAGCGGCATTTATACAGCAAGGATTTAATGACAGGCACTGGATTGGAGCCAGGAAACTCAGCCTAAGGCACCTTCTCTTGTGAAGAGCATCATCGGCTCGGCTCTGTAGCCGGAGTGCAGGGTTTGGGTCTTTTCCAGGTGATGGTGTTGCTGGAGCTGTGCTGCTCTGGGGTGATACGGCTCAAGCGGCTGCACAAAACATGTGCTTCCTCCGCTGTGCCGGTGTCTCCTTGGTGCCTGCTCCCCGTGGGCCTGCAAGGTCGCACCCCGATGCGGGATGCTGCTGCTCCTGCCAATGAATCACGTTTCCCTGTTCACTGCGAGGTTCAGCTCACGGCTGGCAGCCACCAGGTGAGGTATTCCCCTGGAGTGTTTGGGGGTTTCTTTACTTTAAGGCTGAAGTATTTGGATAATCCATCATGAAACAGCCTTGTCCTTGCAGGTAACCCCTGAGTTGAGATTGTTTTAACTCACTGTGTCCCCCCCCACCAACCCTGTCCATGGCGTGTGGGAAACGTTGTGCCTGGGAGACCCTCCGACGGTGCTCCATGGCCACAGGAAATTAAAAAGCAAAAACTCGAGGCTGAGAGAGCAGAGTAGGAAAGATGCCTGCGGCATGGTACATGGTTGGGATCGCTGCTCAGGTCCTGCGAGGCTGGAGATCACACCTTCACCGGACTGTCTCTGAAACAGGGCCAGTGAATAATCCTTTCCTTTCCCCAAAGTGGGAGCTCAGGTCCAGTAAACTGCAGAAATCATATTGGAAGGGGCGGCACTGGCATCAGATGGGGCTCTGGGGAGGGGGTCCCACAGGCAGCTCTGCAGGAACGTGTTGGAAAATAAAAGTCTATCTTGGTTTGTGAGTTACGGCTCAGTCCGACTGCGCTGGGATTCCTCCTGCCCTTCCTCCTCCTCCTGGCTGGCCAGCCTGGTGGCCGAGGCATGGGGGTGGAGTGGCTGAAGAAGAGGAGGGTTTTCTGTTAATTATCCTCTCCCCTCCGGGGCAGTTTGGACATTGAAGGCTAACGAGGACATGTCCTCATCCTCATTCTCGAAGCTGGAAGGACAAACTGACGTGGTTACTTTTCAGATGCTTCCCCATTGTCTATGACATGTCCCTGGCTCCAGGATGGGGCTGGAGGGATCACAGCATCCCTTGGGATGTGTCCAGGCTGCTATGCTGGTGGCCGTTGGCTCCACATCAGCCCCACCTGGAGCCCCGGGGGGTCAGCAGAGTGAAACCCCAGAGCAGATCCCGTTGGACTGGAGTTTTTAGTTTGGTTTATGTCCCCCAGATGGCTTGGCCCTGGGTCAGGGATGCTCCGAGCATCCCTGGTTTTCAGTGATGAGCACAATTTCTGGGTTTGCCCCTACTCCTGCTCCAGCACTGCCTTCACACTCAGCCTCGCAGCCTGCCAGGTCCTCAGCCCTGCTCTGCCTTTCCCTCGTCCACAAGTGCTTTTCAAAATCACGCAAAACACAATTTTGGAAGCCCCACGCTTTCTGCATCTTCTTATAGGTGCGTGTATCTCCTCTGGCCTTTGCAGCCTTGGGTTAATGAAGGGGTTGCCAGTTAACCAAAGCTAATGAGTTCTTCTGCATGAGCTAGTCTCAGTTTTTCACAATTGTTTGCTCCAAGAAACAAATATTTGTGGCTTATTCAAAGCTGCACCTCGGGATTAGCCAAACATGTGTGTGTCCTGGAACAAGTGCTCACGGAGCGTCCAGGCTAGCAAGCACAGAGATGCTGACTCATTGAAATAAATTGGCAGTTGTTAATACTCTTTATTCTAAAGAATCAAGGCAAGAAGCAAACATGGATGTGAGTTATCCCACTGACATCAAAGGCCGTGTTTACGTAAGCGCTGCTCGTGCTGAAGATCTGTGGCAGAGTTGGACCCTTTGGTGAGGAACTGACAACTCATTTGCAAACGAGCTTCTTGGAAACAGTCCAGGCATGGCTGCGGCTGCCAGCGGTCCTCCGGTTGGAGCCAGGCCAGCCTCTGCGGGCTGCAGGGATGCTGGAGCCCCGGGAAGGGTTCCCAGAAA